ACTAAGGCCTCCTGGGTGCTACTTACATTATACATTTAACTCTTTCTGCAATATCCATTTGTTAACCTAACTGAAACTGTCACACGTGTTACTTTAACTTCTTCTCTTCCAAAGTATTACTGTACTTTTATTGTACGTGATTCTGAACAAACATTTGTACTGTACATCATCATCATCATCGTCATGTAGTAGGTTCTTTGCAGAACGTCGCTCTCACCAGTTCTTCCGCCTCATGCACTTTTACACTCAAGAAGTCACTTATTTTACTGTACATGAAGTAAAAATGCAAATGTCATAGCAAATGATTAGTTAAATTACATCCGCCTGGTATGAAAATATTTAACTAAATTTGTATAAATTCCGAAATCAAATAAAAAGGTCCTCGTTAACTTCTCGTGACCAGAAAGAATTTTGTTAACATCTGGGCAAGATCAAAAAAATTTTCAGCGTCAGTAGAACTTGCCCAATTTGGAATTCTTTAATAGTTCTCAAACTGTGGACGTTGTAAGGACACTGACTCCCAGGTCAGAGGTCGTTGCTAGTGGTAACGTCGTAGTCCCTAATTATTTAGCAATCACGGGACAACAGTCGCAGACGACTTGAGTTCCCAGGATAGCAAGGATGACTCAGAAATATATCTTGCTATAAAAAGGTCCCTTCTATGAATCAACCCTCATTCGTTGACTTTTACCATTGCATCACATACTGACAGTGTAGATAATACAGTCAACATGTCAATTAGACTCTAATTATGGCAGGGACGCTAAGGTTGGCCTAAATTCGTTGCGCTATACAAAATCCTTACTGTGGCTGCTATGTCCGGTCAGAAGGGACTCATTCTTTCTTGCCTAACATTAGATGAAAGCTTCCTGTTCTAGGGGAAGACTCATCCTTTTTTCACTGAGCATTGACTCAAAACATCTCGTCAGTTCCCTGCCGTATCTGGTGATGGGAAACAGTCACTTGGCCCCAAAGGGATTCTCTCATTACATCTTCCTAACCTGCCTCTGAGTTAAATAGCGTCTCATGCCCAACTCACACTACTCTTTACGTAGACTATATTGTTGTCTCCTGAACCAGCCATACTGGTCTTAAAGCTTGGTCAAAGTCTATAGTCTCACAATTATCCTCTAGCACACTGGACATGTATATGGAAATATTGTTACAACACTTTCGTCACTTGAACACATTAATATATACTGAGTTTATACTACTCTGATCTACACTAGCGGAAACAATAGCAGTTACTGAACTGTCGTGTTGACGTTAAATCGAAGCCGAATCACTAAGAAATAATTTTCAACAAGTATTAAAACTGAAATATCGAAAACATGTCGAACAACTGCAGGTTCCCAAAGACAAATCGTTGAAGAACTCAATCGAAGAACTCAAGAAATGAAGACCACAAATGGTCTTGGTTAGGTCTCAATATAACCGACACGTGAAGGCGGCGCCAGGGGTTAACGCTTTATTTGTACTGCATGAAGTTATGGAGTTTTAACGCCCTCACGCTGTGTAGGTGGAGTTTGCGGTAGAGTCTAGTTTAGATCAACACATCTTGTGTTTGTTTAAAAAAAAAATGCGTATCCTAACAGGATGTTGCAGAACCAGCAGCATTTTTTTTTTTGGTAGGTGTTGTTGTTTTTAGCTGTCCTTTGAATAACGGTCCTAAATTATCGAGGCGGATAATATACCATAACAGGGCCTCTTGCGCACTTACGTCGTCTTAAATTGCGAATTTCCGGTGACTTTCGCCAGCGCCGCGTGTATCACACACGCCGCTCACGCGGCGTGGATTGGGGCTAAACTAAAAGGCTAGGACTCACGAGCAGCAGCTACTGCATCTCCTGCAGCTTCCTTCATTTTATTTGCTCGTGAGTCCTAGCCATCTAGTTTAGCACCATTCCACGCTGCGTGAGCGGCGTGTGGGATACTCTCGGTGGTGGCGGTATAGTCCCCCGGAAGTTCGCAATTCGGCAGTGGCGTTATAGTCCCGGAAGTGCGCAATTGACACGTGACTGAGGCCTTTTTAGGGTATATTTTCCACCTCGATAATTTAGGACCGTTATTCGGAGGATAGCCGTGGTTTTTTAGGCAGATTTTACATTCAGTAGTTCGCCATTGCTTACTTAACGGTCAGATCTAGGTACCACTGTCCAAATCAACGAAATCTTGATTAAATATAGTATGTTTCTGACTTGACTTACTGTGGCACATGACATTCACAAATAGTTCTGCTTATGGGGTGGCAGAAACAGGGAGGCAGCAAAATCTCTATCACACTTTGCAATGACCATGAGCACATTGGAGTTGATAGTGCACATAATAATCGTAACACATAAGAGCTGAATCAATCCAGTTAGCAAAACAATTATGGGTTGCACATTGAAAAGCATATGCAAACTCTTACCAAGGCTGCCACTGGTACAAATGAATTAATCAAGTAACAGAAAGTATTGTGAACGGCACTCATAGAAAGAAGTAGAAAGATAGAAGAACACACTAGACAACATAAAAATCGAAAGCTATAGTTACCGTGCCGGGAATTGAACCTGTCACCTCCAGACGGCGTCTGCGCCTCGCCATGAATACAAGTGCACTAAGATACATGGTCAACTCGGCACCCCCAAAAAAAGGTGTCTCATTGGCCATGTCTATCGTACAGCTTGAAATCCACGACTATGGAATACGGACAGAATTCATTTCAACCCATTGAAATGGCACCATAGGTTACAGAAATTTATATTAACGAGGCAAATGTCAAATAACAATCACAGCAACAATTTACGTACACAGTAGACCTTATTGCCCTGTCTAGAATACACAAACATTTAAGAAAGGTATTTGATTGGTAGGTTCCGGTGTGTATACGTCATTCCTATAAATAAACAGAGGGGGGAACCATTTGAAAGCCGTTAAATATTATGAATTAATCAAGTAACAGAAAGTATTGTGAACGGCACTCATAGAAAGAAGTAGAAAGATAGAAGAACACACTAGACAACATAAAAATCGAAAGCTATAGTTACCGTGCCGGGAATTGAACCTGTCACCTCCAGACGGCGTCTGCGCCTCGCCATGAATACAAGTGCACTAAGATACATGGTCAACTCGGCACCCCCAAAAAAAGGTGTCTCATTGGCCATGTCTACCGTACAGCTTGAAATCCACGACTATGGAATACGGACAGAATTCATTTCAACCCATTGAAATGGCACCATAGGTTACAGAAATTTATATTAACGAGGCAAATGTCAAATAACAATCACAGCAACAATTTACGTACACAGTAGACCTTATTGCCCTGTCTAGAATACACAAACATTTAAGAAAGGTATTTGATTGGTAGGTTCCGGTGTGTATACGTCATTCCTATAAATAAACAGAGGGGGGAACCATTTGAAAGCCGTTAAATATTATGAATTAATCAAGTAACAGAAAGTATTGTGAACGGCACTCATGCCCGGCTCTCTAGCGGAATTGGCTAAACCGGATTTCACGGAGACCGGGTGACGTACTCCTTGTGGTCCGGGTTCAATCCCGGGGGTAGGCAGGAAAGCCACATTTTCTCCCAGATTTACGGTATTTACAATGGAATCAAGGCCGAAAGGTTGCGATATCCATAATACCGAGCCTAAGGGTTAACAACTCATGGCTTCTGGATACTAAAACAAACAAACAAACGGCACTCATAGAAAGAAGTAGAAAGATAGTCCCGGCACGGTAACTATAGCTTTCGATTTTTATGTTGTCTAGTGTGTTCTTCTATCTTTCTACTTCTTTCTATGAGTGCCGTTCACAATACTTTCTGTTACTTGATTAATTCATAATATTTAACGGCTTTCAAATGGTCCCCCCCCCCCCCCTCTGTTTATTCACTGGTACAAACAGCATTGCGACATTTCTTTGGCATCTGTGGCAGAGAAGAAAGAGCGTGTGTGAAAGCCACCAGTGGAATCATACATTCTTGAACAAAAGTTATACAGGCGTCGAGTGTCAAGCTAAGAACTGACATGAGAGCACTTCGAGCATTCCCTCATCTCCAGTTGCCAGCGAAGAATTCCTGTTTCACTAGTGCCAGTAGCTATTTGATTCTATCGCCTCTCCTATGAGTGTAGAGTGTCCACCACATCCCCTTATAACTCCTAATTTATCCTCTCCATACAATAATGTCTATTCATTTTTCACTTGCTCGAAATCTGTTTATATTTCTCCTCTCTTGAACATTTTTTCCCTGTTCTTACTTATTTTGTTTCGCAATGTAGGACTTCACTTATTTGTTGGATTCCGCTGGCCTTGATTGTTAGAAACTCTGTTATCATGTCCGTTTGAGCTTACCAGTAACAGTTTATTTTATTTTAGTAATTTATTGAAAGGACTTTGGTCGAAACGTTGGGTTGTATTTGTCTTTCTTTTTTTTTTTTCTCCCACTAATACATTTTCTTAGTCACTTTCTGTGTTGTATTTAGCACGAAATATGAGGCGTTCAGCCACTTGTAGGGTCTCCAGTATGGGGTAGGTTGAGAGAGAGAAGACAGACGAAGAGATTTAGATACCCTTCCATAGTAGGTAGACTTGACTATGTAATGCTAGGAAAAGCAAACTCCAATAAATGCTTGTCGAAATCAAATGTTCTGATCCACAGGACTCACTAAAGTAAGTCTGAAATTCTTCCATTATGACGTCTGGCAAGTTTAAACACATGATACACGGCGATGGCATATATTCACCTATTGTTCTTCGGCTGTTTCTTCTTCTCCGTTAACATTATTTCTCAATCCATACCCCTGATTGCCTTTCTCTTAATATCTGCTTTGTGATGAAATATGTTTTTGAGATATGATTTTTCATGTGCCAATCTGGTAATAGGAAGAAAATGTCACCAAGACAATCTTTGTATATCTAAACATCTGTATTTTATTACTATAACTCAATAATTATAAACAATTCTCTTTAACATTTTTTTTTTTTTCAGATTGATATCAGAGTCAATCATAGAGATGAATAGGGTAAAACGCTTGACTGTGAGATTTGTGACGGCCACTACTTTCTGGTTCATTACCATCCTATTTCTGACGATGGCCTGGTTTGATGTGAAGCATGGGAACAATCGTAAAATTGCAGAATTTAATCTTTTACCTTGGACGCGACAGTTCATGACAAGCAAGAACATGACAGTTACTGAACAGCCAACTAGCAGCTACGATGAATTAATGAAACAGAACAGACTGGCAAAGGTCAAGAGAGAGTTTAATGATCTCTCACTCACAAATAGAACCATGTATCCTGCCAACAGAATCGGCAACTATATCTTCTCCAACCCTAATCTTTGCAAAGATGTTCCCAGTATCGATTTCATCATTATCGTGCACACAGCAACTACCCACTTTGAAAGAAGACAACGAATCAGAGCCACTTTTGCGAACACATCTTTGTTTTATCCAGCACAAATACGTGCTGCTTTCTTACTGGGTAAAACGAACGATAGTGCATTAACGGAGAAGTTATGGCAGGAACATAGAACATACAACGATACTGTTATGGGAGATTTTATCGATGATTATCACAACCTTACATTGAAGGGAGTCATGGGACTTCGCTGGGTCAAAGATCACTGTCCAAATGCTGCTTTTGTGTTAAAAATAGATGACGATGTTTTAATAAACATGTTTACACTAGTTCATTTGTTCTTACCACAAATGAAGACACAGAAAAGAACTATTTTTTGTAAGGTATTCCTAAATGATTCAATGTTGGTAGAAAGAAATGGTAGGTGGAAAGTGGATTCCCATATTTTACCAAACAGGACAACATATCCGTATCCATACTGCCCAGGTTTTACCGTAATACTAACCCCAGACTTGGTTGATGAACTGTACCAGGCTGCACAGGTTACACCGTTTTTCTGGATTGATGACAACTATCTGTTCGGGTTGTTGCCATATGTGATTGGTAACATCAATTTTACATATTACGAATTTAACACATATTTTTCCCCCCTATATAAGAACGCTATAAACTGTACATTACCGCAGAAATGGCGATGCCCAATGTATTCTGTTCTCTTATACGACAGTGATTTCTGGACTTGTTGGCACACAATGAAAAGTGTCTACACCGATGTTGATTAGACCAGAGAAGCTACAGCCATCTCATTACAACAGGGCGGACAATATAAGAACACGATATTTGACTTTGGATTTGTCTTTTGTTTGATTGAACAAAAAGGAACAATGAATTGCAGTAATTTTTGTTAACATTTTGTTTAAAGATCACTATCATCATCGTCATCGCACAACAGATGAGAGCATGCGGTCGCTAATCTCCTGAAGTGTTTTTAGACTGATAAAATCTCATCCATTCTGTTCTGGTTGATGTAACGACTTTTGGCTCTCGCCTGTGTGTGTGTGTGTGTGTGTGTGTGTGTGTGTGTCTGTCTGTTTCGCTGCTCCAGTTGGAACACCCAGGGTATGCAGTATATTCAGCAGACAATCAATTTCCAGGAAATGTATTCTCTCTTATGGCATTTATGATGTCTCTAATGCCCACAGATGACATATACTTGATAGTCGCACTGCCAGCTAATGCGTCTGTCATCTCACTGCCTTTCACACCGACACGACATGTAATAAAAAAAAATAAGGGCCATTTTGCGAATCGGTGAATCAGATGGAGCTACTGCTTCCTTATATGTGTCGCCTTGACCCTTTGTAACATACTCAACGAGTCGCCGAGCATGTAGGCTTTGGTGTTTTCCCGAGTTTTCAGCCATTCTTCAGTCCCCCCCCCCCCCCCCCCCCCGCAGCCATTGCCATGCTGTTTGTGGTAGAAGCAAAGGCCCCACTATCTTCTTTAATGGCTTTCCATTTGGTTCATGTCGTGAAAGCGCATGTTTTTTGCTATTTACGAACCACAGAACCATCTCTGTATACAACAGCTTCTTCGGGTGATATGTGTTCTTCTACCAATATTTTAATGTTTGCGTCAACTATTAGTAAAGTAAAGTAAAGTAAAAGGCCCTTTTCCACCCCTTTAGGCGTATAGGGCATATAGGGCTTGACCTACATTTTTATAGATCGGCACAAGATGGGTGATGTGGTCAGCATCACTCCGACCGCCTTTACTTTCCCGGGACTGCACAAGGTACCCACTCAAGGCTGAGTCGACCTTGGAACCAAGGTCATTTTTGAAATAAGTCCGGCTCCGCCAGGGAGCGAACCCACGACCTTTCGATCCGCGGCAAGCGTCTAGCCGCTCGGCCACGGCGACTCCAGCGTCAAAATATTAGTAGCACCAAATCACGGCAAATTTCTTGCCAGGGAGATAACCATCACAAAATACTGCGTGTATGTGTTTTGTACGGGTAACCATTCCTCTCCCCGGTTTATATCTCGAAGGGAAATCACCTGTTGAAGTACTGCCAGACCCAACCAAGACTGGCCTCGTTTAAGTCTGTTACCTTTACGTGTATTCAGTTCATTGTGCAGTGGGTGTACTGTTACACAGTAACAGAAAGTGTATTGATAGGCACTCATAGAATGAAGTATAAAGATTGAAGAACACACTAGACAACATAAAAATCGAAAGCTATAGTTACCGTGCCGGGAATTCAACATGTCACTTCCAGACTGCGTGTGCGCCTCGCCATTGATACAGGTGCTTTAAGAACATGGTCTACTAGGCGCCCCCCCCCCCCCCCAAAAAAAAAGGTGTCTTATTAGCCATGTCTGTCGTACAGCTTGAAATCCACAACTATGGAATACGGACAGAATTTATTTCAAACCATTTAAATTGCATAATTGGTTACAAAAATGTATATTAACGAAGCGTATGTCGAATAACAATCACAGCAACAATTTGCGAACACAGTAGACCCTAAGGCCTTGTCTAGAAAGAAATTTAAGAAAGGTATTTGATTGGTAGGTTCTGATGTGTATATGTCATTACCATAAATGAAAAACAGAGGGGGAACCTTTGAGGCCGTTAAGGTGTGAAGGCCCACAGTAATTTTGAGGTAAGCTCACACTTGGCCCATTTGAGGCTGGCTGTTTATATGTGGAATATCTAAAAGGTATCTCACTGCCCTTACGGTATCTTTGATGGAGCCAAGTATGACGCGCATTGCTTCATTTTGTACCGTTTCCAGTCTGTCGACAAACTCATGCCTGGCATATTTCCTTTGTGAACAAAGGTGACAAACAACAGACTACACATAAATTGAGTGGCATATTTCCCAAACAGAAAGACATGGCAAAAAACGAGTATCTCACCCGGCTTGCCACGGTTGTCATTCAAAATGTCGTTCCTCCCCACATAAAACCTGAACAAAGAAAGATATGAGCAAAAACACCGGGTAAAAAATTTGAGGTAATGAGAATAGGCGGGCAACATATATCCTGAACGTTAATGTTAATGGTACGGCAATCAAACAAGTACGAGAATTCAAATATTTAAAGTGCATATTTACAAATAACAGACTTGATAAAGAGATAGAAGCCGGAGCACAGAAGGCAAATGATGTCACCTACCAGATACTTCACTGCTTAGAAATCTACATGTTTCCCTTCCTTTTCAGTTCAGCAATACAACAAATGACTAATAGCAACTTTATCCCTACACGGACAATGAAAAAGGCACTACACCAGACAATAACTTTATGTGAATGCTCTGTCTCCGCAAGGTCACTAACAACACACAAAAAGACATGGTTACGAATACCAGCATTAGAGAGACAGTTGCAATTAGACCATGTGTGGGACCTGATACCTGAGGGCAGCAGCTCATCTATTAGAGGGATACTTTGAAATTAATACTACCACTGCCCGGTGGTCAGGTCTTGGTTGTTTACGGACGTACATCTTTAAAGAAAAGCAGGTTGAAGACGGAGGAGCAAGGTCGAAAGACACGGGTAGTTGGGGGGGAGGGGGGGTTGGAGGGGCAGGGCAACTCCCACAAACATGACGTCACTCATACCTTCTTGAATGTCAGAACACCCTAGCAGAAATGAAGACTGTGGTATGTAATCTTTAAATCTCTAATAAAGCCATAACACGGTGGACCCTACGTTAAAAGTTTCAACCGTACAATCGCATCACTCAAAATTTCAAAAGTACAGATAACATACCCCCTTGGAGGGACAAGATGAAGGAAGAAGGCGTGTGTACTCTGAGAATTCTACAATCTAACGCAGAGGGACTCAGCAATAAAAAGACTAAACTGACAAAAAAAAATTATCTAAGGGAATATAAATTGCTCCTGTAAACAGGAGACGCACCTGTGATTCAAGCACAGATTCTGCATTTGAAGCGTCCAGTGTTTCAGACAGGATTAAGACAACGGTCCAAAGAGAGGAGCCCTCATCCTAGTAAGGAACAGCATCCCAGGAGCTAATCTCACAGTGAACACTGAGCATAAATCAGAGATCGTGGGTTTCGGGGCTTAACACTGAAGGCAAGGAGATTATCGTATGAAATTGCTACTGCCCCCCAAGCACAAAACACTCCTTATACAACATTTGAATTCCAGTAAACAACTGAATCTTTCTATGAGATGTTTACAGCTACTTTCCGAGCTAGAGATATCCATAGCTAAACCAGAGAGGGGGAAGAAGTGGTGGATCTCAAAACATCTTGAAAATCAAAAAGCAAGAGTCAATACACAAGGTTCAAGGAGCAGATCAGTCACAGTAAACGATGGCGTTCCATAAGGTGGCATTCTACCTCCAATTTTACTTATTTATATTAATGACATCAAAATCAGCCTTTTAGAATAGACTTCAAGCTGTCATGTTTGCTGATGATCTGTCGCTACTGAGCTCAGAGGATTGTACTGGCACAACTGGACAAGGCTTTAAGAATTTCTCAGAAGTGTAGAGAAGTGGTCCAGTAGATGGTACATGCTTGTAAAGGGAGCCAAAATCACACACACCATTTTCAGTAGAACAATCTATACTGCAGTGGATTCCAGGTCACTGTGGTTTGAAAGGCGGATAGACTGGCATCATGCAATCAAATAGTTGCTTAACCCACTAATAGACTCTCATAGTATTACAAGCCATGCCTTTAAACAAAAATGACACACACCATAGATTGCTCAATTTACTGCCTGGAATATTTATCTGTATCTCGTCAAATGCATACCACAGTAAAAATTGCATAAAAAGAAGCAAATAAATGAAACCTTTACACATAAACACAAAATCGACTAAATTCACACAGTGTCTGTTTCACCAAGGTAACCGAAGAGTGACGAGCATTTCGTTCTGTCGGCATAATTCTAGATTAAACTGATCGCTGACGCTTCTGCGTATCGAAGTCATTAACAGTTGGCTGAAGTGCAAATGATTAGAAATACCTCAACCGTGTTTACCATGTAGTCAGAATTTAGAAGATGGCACGCTTTTGCTGATGTTCTTCGATTTATACAAGTCACCCGATTCGATGTTTGTGAGATGTTGTTGGTGTTTTACATTGTTTTTACAGCCCATAGTGAAATCTGTTTAGCAACCCGTCAATGACATGTTATTAAAACAACAGAATTCAGATAACAACGTTAATATGGGTGCTATTGGAATCACATCATCGCCAGTAGGGAGCAGCATTTTACCCGACAGTCAACCAGCAAATGTATAGAAAGTAAATGTCAGTAACATCCTAAACATTGGTTTATGGAATGTCATAACACTTGTCAAAACACTTGTCAAAACACTTGTCAAAACACTTGTCAAAACACTTGAATATCAAAATATTGGAAGTCAGTGAAATGCGTTGGCCAGATGAAAGGGAAGAGTTTTCAGATAAACACAGAATCTTTTACTCGGGTGGGAGAGAATCTAAAAATGGTGATGGTATCATTCTGGCAATGTTTAACAACTGTTAAAGAATATTGGACTATTTCAGAGTGCTGTTAGTAATGATCCATAACAAGCCATTTAATATTAACCTAGTACAGGTGTATGCACCAACAGCAGAAAGCTAAGAAGATAACATTGACGAATGTTATAATCATTCAGACATGGCTTTTCATCATTGCAATAATTTTAGAGTAACAATAATAATTTGCAATTTAAGTACAAAAGTTTGAAGTAAAAAAAAGTGTGTGGAGTAACTGGTGGCTATAGCCTAGAGCAAAA